TGGTATAGGCAAGGAAGTTAATGTTGCGCGAAATCAGCGCACGCAGCGTCCTCCCCAACTATGATAGTAGTCATTTAAGTACCATAAGTAAAATAAGACAGGTTGGTTGACAAATTACTATTTAATTTTCAAAAATAAACTCTAAATTGCAGTAATGGCTATATGAGAAGTCACTGCTGTAACACGCACAAACAGAGATTCCTTGGATGTTAACAACCTTTGGATTTGGCCCATCCTGCCCATACTTACTCCCCCATTATACTCATCTGAACTGATCTCTTTTCTAGTAAACAGCATTTTGCGCTTCAAGCCAACTCAATGAACAAAATAAACAACACCAAATGTGTGTTAAACCCCTCACTCAAATTTTGATCTCCACATTTCATCAGATATAGAATCTACTGTCAGTAAGCTTTCTAACGCTTCACTGAGGGGTGAGCCTCAGCCTAAAACTTACGCCGTTCTCGAGAAGCAACTGCACAACCGATGCCGAGCCGTAATGTGTAGCCAGATGAAGTGGAGTTAAGCCATTGCGTCCAGGAATATCAAGCAGAGCCCGTGCCTCCAGCAGCATCCTCGCCGGTTTGTTGCGCGAGTACTTGGCAGCCAGGTGAAGGGGAGCGAATCCGGACTGGAAGAATAAAGATGGGAAAAAAAGACAAGCCCCTTGATTTGAGCGAATCCTGCGCGCAAAATCCGAGTAAAAAATCGTCAGAATTCCGGTTCGCCCATCGTTTGCTAGACCACTCACGTCAACGGAGCATGATGGGTGCGCATACACCCCGGGGTTTGCTGCACAAATGACTGTACTGGTGGCGCCTGCCGTGGCAGTAGCGGTTGCTGGATACTGGCTGCATGTTGCCGTGAGGCTGTCTACAGGGGGTTGTGTCCCTATAATGGACAACACGGAATCTGCGCCTGACCAACATTGAGGGCCATATTAAGGCACAGCAATCACAGTAGTTCGGCTGTGTCAAAATAAAAAAAGCGCAAATGAGGCATGGGATGGCACACCCAGGCGTAGTTTCACGCAGCGCCAGCCACCTGCGCCCAATCCCCGCACCAGTTGACTGGCCGCCTCTGAAAGAAGACTTGAACCTGAAAGATGGAAGAGCAAGTGAGGTCGACTCTGCGGGCTACGTCCCCACGACACCCAAAGGTGTGTTCATAAGACTGCCTTTCTTAGGCGATGCTGCAAGCGAGCTGATAAGACGACGTCTGGAGACTGTGATCACATGCGCTTTCCCTGCAGCGAACTTACGCGTGCTCTTCACGAACTCTCCCCTCCTAAGTCCGGAAGGTAAAGACCGAAGGCCACATCCATGTGCATCTATTCTTTCACTTGCTCTTGAGGAGTAGGATATATTGGCCAAACAACGAGGCGCCTGGAAAAGAGAGTACTTGAACACATATCGGTCTGGTTAGATAAAGGTGAAACTAGATCGATTTCGAGTTCTACTCTCGCACACCTTGTCGATACGAATCCCTGAGCCGATACTAATGAAGCCCTTCAGGTTAGCTACCGGATAGCATCTAAGTTCTCCAAGTGCCTACGCCAGCGGGTGCTAGCAACAGCCGAAGAAGTGGCTATACGGCTAACGAATCCATTGCTGTGCTGTCAGAAGACGCTAACAAAACCTATTTCACTTCCTTGCTCGACGCCGACGCCAGGTGGCTTCAGTTTATTTTTTTTCAGTTTATTTGGTGAGGATAATAGGCAATGCCTTTG